CCCTAGGCCCCTTGACAGCCTTAGCCCCCACAGTACCCCTAGGCCCCTTGAGAGCTCTCAGCCCCTACAGTGCCCCTTGACCCCTGGAGAGCCCTCAGCCTTCAGAGTGCCCCTAGACCCCTTGAGAGCCCTCAGCCCCCACAGTGCCACTAGGCCCATTGAGAGCCCTCAGCCTCTACAGTGAACTTGGCCTCTTGAGAGCCCTTAGCCCCCACAGTAACCTTAGGACCCTTGAGAGCTCTCAGCCTCCACAGTGCCCCTAGGCACCTTGAGAGCCCTCAGTCTCCACAGTGCCCCTAGGCTCCTTGAGAGCCCTCAGTCCCAACAGTGCCCCTAGGCCACTTGAGAGCCCTTAGCCCCCACAGTACCGCTAGGCTCCTTGAGAGCTCTCGGTCCCTCATAGTACCTCTAGGCCCCTTGAAAACCCCCATCCCATACCTCCCACAATGGCCCCAAAAGTTCTAACCCTCCCCCACTATCCAAAATGGAAACAAAAAGTCCTGGCTGGACACACACTTTATTTTTTTAAAGTTGTAGTTCCAATTAATGTGACTGTGAGATTCTTTGCAAGGTGACTGTACTCTCAGGGACTATAGTTAACAGCTGATTCAGTATTATTCTCAGGACAGAAATGCTTTACAGTTATGACTTTGGTTAAAGTATTTTCTTAAATTTTCTTATTGGCCCTAGGTACTTTAAAGCTGAACACCAGTTTTACCTTTTTTCCCCACACTTGTAACGAGACTTCTTCTTAGTTGAAACTGATTACTCTCAATTCCCTGCAAACTTGCTTCTCCACAATATAACCCTTTGAAGCTACAGTGGCCATCTTAAGCCTGCCCTAATTTCTAATGTGAATGACTTCAATCATCATCAATCCTTTTGTTGCTCACCTCTCACAGCTATTAGCTTTCTCTGCCATCAGTCAGTTTGTTCCCAAGCATTACATGAAAGAACACATGTCTGGCATACCTTTAGATGTGCATGGTCAAGCAACTGAGAAGCAGATTGCACAGCTAATATCTTCAGCACCCAGTGTCCAGCATGGAGGAGCACACATCTCTAAATAGATCCTGGGGATGTATGATTTCATATAGAACTCTTGACAGAAGATCAAAGACAGGGTGCTGTGGCAATTACCAACCTCAGGGCAATACCAGCATACAGACCCAGTGATGATGTCACTAGATCTTCAAAGAGTTATTTATTGAAAACCAAATGATTTGAATTAAACATTTTAATAGCATGTTGATCAAGGGGAGGGGGGAGCAAAAAAGGGAAATGTTAAATTTGTTCACTACACTTCAGCTTGAAAGATAAAAGGTTTCTGTGTAAGAAGGGAAAACCGCTTTTATTATCTACCCCTGAGATTGTGGCATTTGAGGCCCTGTGTATGAAATCCTGACAGTCAAGGTGAGACCATGAGAGGTCCCTAGTTATTGAATTCCTTTTACAGCTCTGTTTAGTACTTATACAGTATTCCTTTAGTGGTCTAATAGAAATAATTTTCTTCCCCTCAGGGAGATTGGAATCCAGTGCATGGAGATCACAGGGTTCAGCCGCGGTGCAGAAAACAATGACAATGACGCCTTCCATAGGACCAAGTCCAATCATATGTGGAACGCAGTGGAGTTGGCTGGACAGTGGTACCTGCTGGATGCCTGCTGGGGGGCTGGAACCGTCGACCTTCAGAAAGGGATATTTATACCAAGGTAAGTAAAACCACACTATGGTGGATCATTTCAAGAAAATAAGAAAGATCTCTCCATTTGGGATACCAGATAGGAGATCTTTCTACTATCAGAACTGTTGTGACAGCTAAAGTCAGATTTTCAGCTAAGTTAATGTTGGCACTGACCAGCAGGTCCTCCATACAGTATGTTCCTAAAGAGCATTATTATTATAATATATACATGTTGGATCAAAATGACTGAACTCTGCTCTGGTTTGTCCCCAGAGACCCAGTTATTATATCTTGCCATCATGCCACTTCTACAGCACACAGAAGATGGAATCGGGATGTCAATCATAGTATGCACACCATAGACTCCTCCACCCTTCCTGTGACCGTCATGTGGCACTGTCCTTTGCATAGCTAAGCAGCCAAGGAAAGAGGATGAAACTGAACTGCAGACAGATATAAATGACACAAAATAATGCTGCTATGTTCATTAACATTACATTTGTCACTTCTACAGAAAAACAGACTATACCCAGATAAAGAGAAAAATCACTTTCCTTGATTTTCCACAGCTATGATGATTTCTTCTTCCTCACCGATCCTGAGGATTTCATCAATACTCATTGGCCAGATGACCCCAACTGGCAGTTGCTCCAATCTCTGGTCTCGTTTGAAGATTTCGAGCAGAGAATCTTCAAGACATCGGAGTTCTTCCGGCTTCGCCTCTTCACCATCTCACCAAATGTTTTCTACCTCTCAACAGGTATGGCATCACAAGGGGAACAAACTGTGCCAAGTAGAAAACTACTGGAATCCTGGTGCTGACATTTCAAAGGAACATGAGCAGTATGGGTTTTGAAAGTATTGAAAAAGCTATCACCAAACTCTGCATAATCTCTACTTCAACCAATGGTTTTATGGAGAAAGTTTGGAGTTAAATAATACCCTTTATTAGCTAACTTGTGTTATTAAAGACAAAAGCTTTTGGGATTCCTTAGATCCCTTTGCCAGGCTATGTACACTTTCATAAATTGTATAAAGCCTGGTGAAGGGATCTAAAGAATTCCAATAGCTATAATTTTATTGACTTCCGAGGCAAAGCTTGAAGAACTCCGACGTCTTGAAGATTCTCTGCTTGAAATCTTCAAACTAGACCATAGATTGGAGCAACTGCCAGTCTGGGTCATCACACTTAACTCCAAACCTTCTGCAATAATCAATGGCTAACAAGGTACAATACTATACAACTAAAAGTTGTACAGATACTTTCAGATGTGAGAAATTGTAGGTGTTCCTGGCCAATCAGTTCATCCAGTGAAGTTCTTGTGGCCAATTGACTCCTTTACATTTACAAAAAATAATGAATCAAATCTGAACTGATGTACTGAGTTACTGGGTCTACATATACCTTGCTACCAGTTCCAGTTGCTGGGAGGTTACCCAGGAACTTGATCTAGAGCTCTGCGATAGGGTCTTTCCATCTCTGGGTGCCAGTTACATACAGGTCCATCCTCACCAGCCAATATACTCTAAAACAGTGTTTCTCAACCTTTTTTCAGTCAAGGCACCCTTTAAAATGATGGACAGTCCTGAGGCACCCTTTAAAATGATTGAAAGTCTGGAGGTACCCTTTAAAATGATGAAAAGTCTTGAGGCAGCCTTTAAAATGATGAACAGTCTGGAGGCACCCTTTAAAATTATGGACAGTCTGGAAGCACCCTTTCAAATGATGGACAGTCTGGAGGCACCCTTTAAAATGATGGACAGTCCCGAGGCACCCTTTTAAATGATGGACAGTCCCGAGGCACCCTTTAAAATGATTGAAAACCTCAAGGCACCCTTAAAATGATTGAAAGTTTTGAGGTACCCTTTAAAATTATGGACAGTTTTGAGGCACATCATTCTAAAATGTGAAAAACAATTTTAATAGTTTTATATAATGCAGCAACATCCACACATGTAGGACTCCCAACATTAGAGGTGATGTATTCTTCCAAAGTAAATACGTTTTTGTACACTGGTACTGACTAGTATTCCAGTGTTTATCTTCTCCCTCAGTTTTTCTCCATCACTGAGCTAATGTGACCCCAGCACTGATGGAGAGGGATGGGGGAGGGTCAAACTAGGATGCTGTGCAGACTGCTGACAACCTCCTTATCAACTGATGATGCCATTGGTTGTCAGTATGGCAGCGGCTAGAAGGTCGTAATGGTGCACAATGAAAACCTATGACTCTGTGTAACTAAAAGGCAGGCTTGTTCCACCCGCTGGCTTGTATACAAGTTTTGGGCAATTTTTAGACATTTTGCCATGGCACTTCTGAAGGAACCTCAAGGCACCCTGGTTGAGAAAGGCTGCTCTAACATGATACATGCACCCTACTTCAATATCCTCCACTCAATTGTCTATTAGAAAGAACACCCATCTGAGCTTGTTCCCTTGATGTGTTGCACCCTTTGTTGTTGTTTTTTTATTGTTTTTTCTCAACAAATGTGGAATTGATCTTTACATTAATAAGTCATAATGGACTTCGAACCATATATGTGAGAACGACATTTCCTAGGGCTAGTGACGCTATGCTCAAAAAATGGGATCTAATATTAGAAGAGAAGTTGGATGACCACTTGAACAAAGTTGAAAAAGCTTCAAAGTCATTGCAGGAATGTCCTGGGGAGTTAAAAGGCAGACAACTACTGAGATAAATGGACTACCTTTGAAATTACACAAACCTATTGCTTATATATGGATATGGGACAGAAGGAGTCAGGCCCAAAGTAGGACTGGTCGCCTGTAGGAGTGCTTGTCAGAGGTATACCTAGGAGCACAGCTGATGTGCTGGAATGGTGTCTGCAGACAGGTGGCGCCCCTGAGAGGTATGCAGGCCTTCAGGGTAGCAGAGGACCACAGAGTAGTCCGTCAAAGCCAAGGTCAAATGCCAGGTGGAGATTGGAGCAGACATAGTCAATAGGGTAGCCAGGGTCATACACAGGAGAGCAAATGAGAATATCTTTTGACCAAGCTGGGTCAGATCAGGAGAACAGGTGCAAATATCTATTAGCCAAGCCAGGTCAGATCAGGAGAGCAGGTGAGAATATCCGTTAGCCAAGCCAGGTCAGAACAGGAGAGCAGGTGAGACTGTTAGCCAAGCTAGGGTCAGATCAGGAGAGCAGGTGAGAATATCTATTAGCCAAGCCAGGTCAGATCAGGAGAGCAGGTGAGAATATCTATTAGCCAAGCCAGGTAAGATCAGGAGAGCAGGTGAGACTATCCGTTAGCCAAGCCAGGTCAGATCAGGAGAGCAGGTGAGAATATCTATTAGCCAAGCCAGGTCAGATCAGGAGAGCAGGTGAGAATATCTATTAGCCAAGCCGAGGTCAGATCAGGAGAGCTGGTGTGACTATACGTTAGCCAAGCCAGGTCAGATCAGGAGAACAGGTGAGAATATCTATTAGCCAAGCCAGGTCAGATCAGGAGAGCAGGTGAGACTATCCATTAGCCAAGCCAGGTCAGATCAGGAGAGCAGGTGAGAATATCTATTAGCCAAGCCAGGTAAGATCAGGAGAGCAGGTGAGACTATCCGTTAGCCATGCCAGGTCAGATCAGGAGAGCAGGTGAGAATATCTGTTAGTCAAGCCCAGATCAGGAGTCAGGCAGAGAAGACAGGTCCAGGAACAAACCAAATTGGTAACAGGAGATCACAGTAGCAAGGGAACACAGACAAAGGTACTGGGGAGCCAGAGATCAACCAGCAATTTGAGGGAGTGATGGGCTTCCTTATAAAGTCCATCTGGTGCCAAACTGGGCTAATGTGGGTGTAACTATGCGCCAGTGCGCATGCGTGTTCTGGCTCGCGTCTGTGCATTTCTGCAGCCATGCAAGGTACTGGCAGGAATATCAGGTCTCCGAGTACCTCTGCTGTGGACAGAGCCCTGACATTGCTATTATGTATTCCAATAAAGATACATGCACTGCATTTCACCACAGGGCTGCCAATACTGGGCCCAGGCCCCATCAGTTTATTAGGGAGTAGAGAGAAGACTCTTTAAACATACTTGGGTTTTGTGCACATTTTCACAGCTCTTACAGTGAAGAACCCTTTCTGTATTCTTTTTTCCACTTGCATTTGTAGTTAAAAGCTGAATTCCAGGAAAACCGCTAAATACAGTACATGAGAGCTGTCAATGGATTTGCATTTCTGTCTATCCAGTCCTGATATTTACACAGCACTGCCATGCAGTGCAAGCCTGCTCAGTAGGGCAGGAGACCTGAGTTTCTCTGTTGCAGGTAAGTAACACTTACAGGTCTTGTCCTTCCCCCAGTCTGACTGCTCAGTGAATGAAGGGACAGCAGACTGATATGTTCTGCCCTCTCCTTTTATCATCATGCTCCTTGTTAGTACACGATCACTGCAGCACAACTAATAGTCTCCTTGTGCTGCATTTCAATCCCCAGTCTGAGCTCTGCTGTACAGACACTAGAAAAGGCTGATGCTGTCTAACGCGCCAAACCTCCATTCCAGTATTGGGTTTTCTCTCTGGTGTGGGGCTGTTGGCACTTCCAGGTTTCACCCGGAGCACCAGCGCTGCAGCCAGTTAGGAGACAGATCTTCTGACTTGAGCTGGCTTTAAATGGGGGTGCAATGTGCAAGTCAGCATTCAAGCAATGCATTGCTACTCCTAAGCCAAGCCCCTCTGCTTCTCCAGTAACCCCAGCAATGCTGTGCCTCCTGTGACTCTGTGGGGTGGATTTACTACAGGCAAATAGACTGTGCACTCTGCCAGTGCAGTTCCTCCAGAGCTTAGTAAAGGAGATAAAGCATGGCAGCACAGTTGCTAAATGGTTAGCACTTCTGCCTGGTAGCACTAGGGTCGTTGGTTCAAATCCCAACCATGGCACAACCTGCCTGGAGTTTGCATGTTCTCCCTGTGCCTGCGTGGGTTTCCTCCAGGTACTCCAGTTTCCTGCCATACTCCAAAGACACGCTGGTAGGTTAACTGGCTTCTGTCTAAATTGGCCCTAGTATGTGTATGTATGAATGTGAGTTAGGGACCTTAGATTGTACACCCAGAGGCGTATCTGCTGCGAGGCAAACAAGGCATCTGCCTTGGGCAGCACTTTTCAGGGGGGCGGCAACGCCCCCAGGCAGAAGGGACCAGTGCCGTCGCTGCAAAGGGCTCTGCTTGGGCAGGGGGGCATGCTCGTGTGTGCTAGAGTGGGGTGGGTTCGTGTGTGCCTGGCGGCGAGGATGGGTGAGGAGACAGAGAACCTGTCAGCCATGGAGCCGGCTAGAGAAGGGGCCGGGTGGCACATAGAGGATCGTGCATTTCTCTTTTGCTCTATGTGCCGCCCCTATCCATCTCCTGCATGCGGTCAGTCAGCTACTGTATGCGCCCCCCCTCCAGCACTGCAGGGGATCTGTCAGCATATGCAGTCCCCAGTGCTGACAGTTACCCCCTCCCGACACAGACTGGAGAGGAGAGAGAAAGCTGCTACTCCTCATCCCGTCCTCTCCTCCTGTGTCTGCCCCGCCCACACTTCCAGACACTTGTGTATTCTTTCCCCCTTCTCCCTCTCTCTCTCTTCCCCCTCCCTCTCCCTTCCCCCTCCCTCTCCTTCTCTCTCTCCCTCTCTCTCCCTCCCTCCTCTCTCTCTCTCTTTCTCTCTCTCTCCTTCTCTCTCACCCCCCCTCTCTCTCTCTCTCCCCCTTCCCCCTCTCTCCCCCCCCCTCTCTCCCTCCTCTTTCCCCTCTCTCCCCTCTCCCTCTCTCTCTCTCTCTCTCCCACCCCCCCCCTCTCTCTGTTGTCAGTGGGAGGAATAGTGCCCCATCATTGGTGTCAGTGTGGAAATAATAGTACCCCATCGTTGGTGTCAGTGGGAGGAATAGTGCCCCATCATTAGTGCCATTGTGGGATGAATAGTGCCCCATCATTTGTGTCAGTGTGGAAGTAATAGTACCCCATCATTGGTGTCAGTTGGAGGAATAGTGCCCCATCATTAGTGTCCGTGTGGGAGGAATAGTGCCCCATCATTGGTATCAGTGGGAGGAATAGTGCCCCATCATTGGTGTCAGTGGGAGGAATAGTGCTCCATCACTGTTATCAGTGGGAGGAATAGTGCCCCATCATTGGTATCAGTGGGAGGAATAGTGCCCCATCATTGGTATCAATGGGAGGAATAGCGCCCCATCATTGTTGTCAGTGTGGGAGGAATAGTACCCCATCATTGGTGTCAGTGGGATGAATAGTGCCCCATCATTGGTGTCAGTGTGGGATGAATAGTACCCCATCATTGGTATCAGTGGGAGGAATAGTGCCCCATAGTTGGTGTCAGTGGGAGGAATAGTGCCCTATCATTGGTATCAGTGGGAGGAATAGTGCCCCATAGTTGGTGTCAGTGGGAGGAATAGTGCCCCATCATTGGTGTCAGTGGGAGGAATAGTGCTCCATCACTGGTATCAGTGGGAGGAATAGTGCCCCATCATTGGTATCAGTGGGAGGAATAGTGCCCCATCATTGGTATCAATGGGAGGAATAGCGCCCCATCATTGTTGTCAGTGTGGGAGGAATAGTACCCCATCATTGGTGTCAGTGGGATGAATAGTGCCCCATCATTGGTGTCAGTGTGGGATGAATAGTACCCCATCATTGGTATCAGTGGGAGGAATAGTGCCCCATAGTTGGTGTCAGTGGGAGGAATAGTGCCCTATCATTGGTATCAGTGGGAGGAATAGTGCCCCATAGTTGGTGTCAGTGGGAGGAATAGTACCCCATCATTGGTATCAGTGGGAGGAATAGTGCCCCATAGTTGGTGTCAGTGGGAGGAATAGTACCCCATCATTGGTATCAGTGGAAGGAATAGTGCCCCATAGTTGGTGTCAGTGGGAGGAATAGTGTCCCATCATTGGTATCACTGGGAGGAATAGTGTCCCATCATTGGTGTCAGTGAGAGGAATAGTTCCCCATCATTGGTATCAGTGGGAGGAATAGTGCCCCATAATTGGTATTAGTGGGAGGAATAGTGCCCCATCATTGGTATCAGTGGGAGGAATAGTGCCCTATCATTGGTATCAGTGGGAGGAATAGTACCCCATCATTGGTATCAGTGGGAGGAATAGTGCCCCATCATTGGTATCAGTGGGAGGAATAGTGCCCCATCATTGGTATCAGTGGGAGGAATAGTGCCCTATCATTGGTATCAGTGGGAGGAATAGTGCCGCATTATTGATGTCAGTGGGAGGAATAGCGCCCCATTGTTGTCAGTGGGCGGAGTTCTAATAGGGAGAGGTGGGGCCTTAATAGGAAGGGGTGGGGTTTACAGATGAAAGGGTGGATCTTAAACAGGAAGGGGTGGGACAAATTTAGATGTTGGGTGGGGTGCCCAATTTTAGTCTTGCCTAGGGCAGCACAAAACCAAAATACACCACTGTGTACACCCCTTGAGGGTTAGGGACTGATGTGAATGTGCAATATATATGTAAAGCGCTGTGTAAATTGATAGCGCTATACAGGGGCGGACTGACCATTTAGCCACTCAGGCACTGCCCGAGGGCCCGGGGTCAGTAAGGGGCCCCATGGGATGCCCCTGGTACCTTTCATAGGCTTTTTTGGGTGTGGTTTGAGTGTGGGCAAGGACACAGGGGCCCCATGATTTCCTATTGCCTGAGGGCCCCATGAGTTGTCAGTCCGCCCCTGGTGCTATATAAGTACCTGAAATAAATAATCAATAAATATAAAGCTTCACTGTGCAAAGAATAACCAATCACATGCAAGGAAAAACCAGCATTTTTGCCTGCACATGATTGGATGATGGAAGTAACCAGATCTTTTCCATATTTACTAAGCTCTGGAGCAACTGCACTTTGCAAAGTGCACACTTTACTTGCCTGCAGTAAATCAACCCCTGCATCCCCTGTGCACCCCAGTGATCCTAGTATCTCCAGTAACTCCTGTGCTGTTGTGCCTACTCGGACTTTGTGTCCCTCGTGCACTCCAACAGCCCCACTTCTCCAGTGACTCCTGTGTCACCCTGCGACTCCAGAGCACCCAGTGATATCCAGTCACCTCTGTGACTCCAGTGCACCCTTAGCACCTCTGTGACACCTGTAGCCTCAGGTATGCTCCTGGATTTCCTGTTTTTTTTTTTCCCTCAAAATCAATACAAACCCGTGTTCTTGACAGTACCAGGTCAAATGTAGGTCTCTACAATGCTTGCAAAAAAAAAAGATTGATGAAGTGATGTTCAGCTCAGTGTTCATGTAGTGCATGGCTATGTCTAAGCCAAGCACCCCCCGCTGCAGTGTCTGTGACCCCAGCACTCCTGTGGCTCTGTGTCCCCTCTGCAGCCCGGTGACCCTAGTAACCCCTGCGCTGCTCTACCTTCCTGTGCCCCCTGCATATTCCAGAAACAAGAGATACCTGTGCTCAGATCCCAATAGCTTGTACATGTATGTATCTATCAGGTGCTAAAGGGGTGAAGCCACAAGTTAACTCTAGAAATCCCAGAGGAACCCTCTGCACACTGCTAATTACCCGTTCCAGCATTGCAATAAAAAAAATAGGGATTTTTAATTCACACATATTACAATACGTTGAACCGCTTCTCGACCACCCTATAGCAGAACTACTGCGCAAAATCACGCATATATACATGATTTTATATTTCCAGGTGGGGGCGCGTGCACACGTGTGTGCCGCTATTGGCGGCCCAGCTGTCAATCACCGGGTTTCGGCTGGAGATTCCCAACCAGCAACCGGCAATCGCTGAGGAACACTGACAGGGGAAAGGTCTGTATGTAAACAATACAAATCTCTCCCCTGTCAGCATCAGCATTCTGCTTTGTATTGCTCTGCATAGCAGAGCAATACAAAGCAGCATGCTTACATAGTAAACCACACACAGACAACACAGTAAAACACACACAGCACACTGTTAACCCTTTGATCCCCTCAGATGTTAACCCCTTCCTGCCCAGTGCCATTAGTACAATGTCAGTGCTTTTTATTAGCATTGATCACTGTATTGGTGTCACTGGGGATGTCAGTGGCAGTTAGTCATTTCCCCCAGTGTCTGAATACCCGCCGCAGTCCCGCTATAAGTTGCTGATCACCGCCATTACTAGTATAAAAAAAAAAATCCCAGTATCTATACCGCCATTTGTAGACACTATGACTTTCACGTAAACCAATTAATTTACACGTATTGGGATTTTGTTTAGCACAGACATGGAGCAGAATACATTTTGGCCTAAAATTACAACAAAATTTGATTTTTAATTTTTTTTACTGGTTTTATAGCAAAAAGTAAAAAATATTGTTTGTTTGTTTTTTTTTTCAAAATTGTCAGGCTTTTTTTGTTCATAGCGCAAAAAATAAAAAGGTGATCAAATACCATGGAAAGAAAGCTCAATTTGTGGGGGAAAAAAGAACATCAATTGAATTTATGTACACCGTTGCATGACCGCGCAATTGACAGTTAAAGTAACGCAGCGCTGTATCACAAAAAATGGCCTGGTCAGGAAGGGGGGGGGGAATCCTCTGTAGGACAAGTGGTTAAGCTGGCCAACTGCATGAAAGTAATCTGTGGCCAGCCCTACTCTGCTCTGCCAATGCAAATGCTACTGTGGACTTAATGCCAACCTGGGCCAAACAGACACGAAGTGAGGGAGAGACACTAGGTTTAGGTCTGACTGCATACTCCAGTGACCAGGGGCGGACTGACAACTCATGGGGCCCCTGGGCAATAGGGGATCATGGGGCCCCTGTGTCCTTGCCCAAACTCAAAAAATCCTATGAAAAAGGTACCAGGGTCATCTCATGGGGCCCCCTACTGACCCCGGGGCCTCAGGCAGTGCCCAAGTTTCCAAATGGTCAGTCCGTCCCTGCCAGTGACCACAGTATTCCTGTGCCAACAGTGATTCCTATGCAATGGAGTGACCCCAGCACTTCTGTGCCTTCAGGTGACTATTTGACCCTTTTGGACTCCATTGGCCTCGGTGTCTCCACTGATCCCCACACTCCTTTATCACCCTGTGACTCCAGAGCTCGCTGAGCAACCAGTGTTATCCAGTGACCCCTGTGATTCCAGTGAACCCTAAACCTCCTTTGTCACCCTGCCACTCCAGTGCCCTCTTAACACTTGTCACACCTGTGTCCCCATGCAGCATTAGGTACATTCCTGTATTTCCTGGACTGTCTATCAGTGGATACGGACCTCTATTCCCGATAAGATACCAACTTAAGGTATTCACTGCTTGCAAGAATTGCATTTATTTTGTATTAGTGAATACAGAGCTGGTTTATTTTGTCTCTTTTATGTTCAGACACAAAGTATACTCCAGAACATGGGGGGGACATGACCTGGAACTGGTTGCATATAATAATGAAGAGTACAAGACCTCTTAGCAGTATGCTGCTGGAACAAGATTCCTGTTTATTAGTTGGCAAATCAACATTTAGTGAATTTCACCAAACAGCAGATCTGGCAATTAGGCGGGTAATACTCAGGTTCTAAATGTAACATTTGCTAATAAAACAACTGACAGGACTTTCTGCAATAACCCTCTTACCAACCCCATTTCCCGGCAGATCGTCTCTGTAAAAATTAATGCAAATTTGATATTTTTGTTGCTGATAAAGACTTATGCAACCTTTGAGAGGCTTACTTAAGTGGGGAGAGCACAGATCGCTCCCTCGCTCTCGGAATAATGTAAGCTCGTTGATGAAACACCCACAAGCTCTCCAAGCAGATTGTTTTCTCCTCAGCCTTCTGTTTTATAATTGGATTTTTTTTTTGTTTAAATTGGCCGGGCATGTTACATGAGATACAACAGAATGAATCAAGCATATCCAGCACAGAGGGCTAAATGAGCTAAACAGACTTTGCAAAAGACGGAGAGGAGAGCGGCAGGCTGTGTTCTGGAATTCCACTGCATAGTGTGGCTCCAAACTTTCTTTACGGAAGACTTAAAGTCTATCTAAAGCCAAAACTTCTGAAAGTCCTTTCAGTTTCTTATTCTCCTGTCACTTTTTGTTTTGATAATTAGTCATTATAGTGGGTTGGGAAATGTGGTATGGCACCAGATGAAAACATGTTGCTAAATATACCACCCATAAATCTAATGGTGTTCCACCACCCAAATCCTAAAAGTTAATCAAGCTGTATGAGGAGCTTGAAAGGGTGACGGTGGCTTTTTGGGCAAATTTCCATCTGAGCACCCCTGAAAGTAGGACTGCTAGGGCAATGGAATGGCGCAGTTGTCAAGAAGCTGGAACCACTGACTTGAATTAGGGAGTGCTGTTGTCAGATAAGCACAGTAATGAGGGCACTCCAAGTTCTCCCAGACCAAGAGAAAAGAGCTTGGTCACAAGCCTAGTTCGGTAACAGATGTACAGAAAGGTACCAAATCACCAGCTGGATCAAGGTAAGAATTGAGCAGAGGTTGGCACCGTATGGGCACAGAGATAAAGAATCAATAGCAAAATCTTGGTCAAGAGTCCAGGCCAAGATCGGTAACACAGGTAGGCAACAGACATAAACAGGCAGGGGTAATCCAGAGGTAGTTAGACGAAAGGGTCAATAACAGAGTCAAGCAGATTTAGGATTAAGGATAACAGAAGTACAAGCTGAAAGACCATCCAGCAATGATCCTATTCATGGGCCCAGGATTAAGTTGGCCACTAAGAGCCAGTATCTTTGGTGGACATGTTTGTGCGTCCATCTGCATGTCGTTACGTACTTGTTCCTATGCAATTGTGCATTTATGTATGCTTAGTTAGGCCCCATGCCCAAAAATGATCTCTTTGATGGCTGACATCATGTTCCTGACAACGATCCTGCTATGGCCCTGGTTACACCGTCCACAAAGACCTAATATCCAGAAAATGGTTGGTGAAACTGCACAAATGCTTTTTGAACTCTATTTTTCCTTTATATTGGATTTTCAAAATAACAAACGCATTAATATAGAGGTTGGATAAAAAGTTTAGTGTAGCCTAATACTGTTGGTAGCACATTTGTATAGAACACATCAGACCAAAAAGAGGGACGTTTAAGGATCAATGAGGGACAAAGTAATTTGGTCTCAAACGAGGGACATATGGGGATCAATGAGGGACAGAGGGATTTGGTCTCAAAAGAAGTGCATCTGAGGATCAATGAGGGACAGATGATTTTGGTCTGAAAAGAGGATGATCTGAAACATAATGGGGAAAGAGGAACCTGGGCTCAAATGAGGGACATTTGAGGATCAATGAGGGACAGAGGATTTTGGTCTGAAAAGAGGAACATCTGAACAATAATGGGGGAAAGAGGAACCTGGGCTCAAATGAGGGACATTTGAGGATCAGCTAGGGACAGAGAGATTTGGTCTCAAAATAGGGACATCTGAGGATCAATGATGGACAAAGTAATTTGGTCTCAAATGAGGGACATCTAGGGATCAATGAGGAACAGAGGGATTTGGTCTCAAAAGAAGGACACCTGAGAATCAATGAGGGACAGAGGATTTTGGTCTAAAAAGAGGAACATCTGAAACATAATGGGGGAAAGAGGAACCTGGGCTCAAATGAGGGACATTTGAGGATCAGCTAGGGACAGAGAGATTTGGTCTCAAAATAGGGACATCTTAGGATCAATGAGGGACAAAGTAATTTGGTCTCAAACGAGGGACACCTGGGGATCAATGAGAGACAGAGGGATTTGGTCTCAAAAGAAGGACATCTGAGGATCAATGAGGGAGAGAGGGATTTGGTCTCAAAAGAGGGACATCTGAGGATCAATGAGGGACAAAGTAATTTGGTCTTAAACGAGGGACATCTGGGGATCAATGAGAGACAAAGGGATTTGATCTAAAAAAAAAAAAGGACACCAGAGGATCAATGAGGGACGAAGGATTTTGGTCTGAAAAGAGGAACATCTGAAAAAATATGGGGAAAAGAGGAACCTGGGGTCAAAAGGGGGGACATTTGAGGATCAGCTAGGGACAGAGAGATTTGGTCTCAAAATAGGGACATCTGAAGATCAATGATGGACAAAGTAATTTGGTCTCAAGAAAGAGACATCTGGGGATCAATGAGAGACAGAGGGATTTGGTCTCAAAAGAAGGACATATGAGGATCAATGAGGGACAGTGGGATTTGGTCTCAAAAGAGGGACATCTGAGGATCAAGGAGGGACAAAAGCACTTGGTCTCAAAAGAGGAAAGTTTGAGGATCGATGAAGGTTAGAGGGATTTGGTCTCAAAAGAGGGACATTTGAGGTTCATTGAGGGAGAGAGGTTTGGTCTCAAAAGGACATCTGCAGATCAATGAGGGAAAGAGGGATTTGGTCCCTAAAGAGGGGCAGTCCCTCCAAATGATGGCCAGTTGGGAGCTATGAGTATTCTGACAGCAACAGGAGCAGTGGCTGTCAGGATACATTAGCCAGCAGGGCATATTCTTTCATCCACAGTGTAAAAATATATTTATTACCCCAGCCTGGAGAAACCTTAACATGCCTGACTAGCCTTAGTTAAATAAAAGCTAAATGGATTTTTTAGGAGCCGAATCAGCATGGTGTCTCAGTCTGTGCCCCTGGCAGCTGGGTTTTCATAGTGGCTGTCAATGCCCTCCCTGCGGACAACGGTGTACACACCAACCCGGACATACCTTTCTGCTAGGAAAATACTCCTATAATCCTTCTATATTTTGCATACAAGAGACACGTATAAAACTCTTTTCTATTATAACTATATGTCATGAGGCTTTACACAGAAGTGATATTAAAGGAGGACAGATTATATCTATGGACATGTGCAAGCAAATCTTTCCTGTTGCCGCTATTCCTGTTGTGACATTTTATCTAGCAATTTTTAAAGCAAACAAAGCTACTGCTTGATATTATAATGTATTTAAAAGCAGAAATAAATAGTGTCTTGAGAACCACAAACTGAACACATTTTTAATATTCAAAGCAATCCACATCTCCATGCTTTATTTTGTTGAGAAATCACATTGAAAAACACCCCCAAAGCATCACTAGCCAAAAATGCTATTTCATTCATTTTTAATATGCATAGCAAACTCCTCCATCCATACATGTCTCCATGCTTTATTTTGCTTTTAAACCTTGAAAAACACTTCTTTGCATTTCTGGCTGTGGCCATCTTGAGGAAGGGCAGATGATTCATATAGCATTTACTTCCTGGAATCCATATGCCCTTAGCTCAGGCATGCAGTCAGCATTAGCTGAGAAAGCATCTTCCTCTTTTTCACATGAAAGAAAAAACAAATGCCCATGAAGACTCCTGGGATGTATAACATCATTTTAGCCTAGGTCATGAACCAGGAAGCAACTGATGAAATGTAAAAAAAAAAGAAAAAAAAAACAATATTAAAAAGGAAATATAATATGCTTTCCTATCTATTTACTAATACTAGCAACATAAGGATTATAAATATTTAATGTTGACTGAGATAGTTTAGTGTCGGTTTAAGGAAGCAGGTATTCAAGACTGGAAAACATAAAAAAAACCCATAATATTCAGTACATGCAAAGTAAAGAAGTCTGCATGAGGGTTTTAATAAAAGTCTGGACATCCTGGTAGTCAAAGGGTTTAAGTGTATTTCCACTTTTGCAGTCAGATTGGGATAACACCTATTTTATATTTGTTACATGTCCCCATTCACAGAACATGATTTAAGAAATCAATATTTAACCCCTCGCCTACCAGGCACTTATACCCCCTCCCTGCCCAGCCCAATTTTCAGCTTTCAGTGCTGTTACACTTTGAATGACAATTGCGTGGTCATGCAACACTGTACCCATATGAAAATGTTATCGTATTTTTTTCACACAAATAGAGATTTCTTTTGGTGGTATTTACTCACCGCTTAGTGTTTTATTT